TCAGCATCCGTTTGTTCGTATGACATGTTATTTACGGCGGGAGGATGCATCCGTGGGTTGGTAATACATGTACTTATGTACGAAATGATGTTTTGGCCACCAGAGAGAGCTATTTAAAACAACATGAACAACACAACTGAATAAAAAGGTCATACAATCACTCTCACAAAAGCCAAAGTAGCTAAAAGAGACAAATAGTTCACACTACAGTGCATGCCGATAAAAAATGATACAGAAGCGTAGAGTTTGTGTTCACACTGATCTGTTAAAGTTGCCATGATACAGTGAAATTCAACAAGATTAAGTGAATATCTAAAATCCTTTGCCGTAGCAACCATTCTCTACGACGGTTGGAGCATGGTCACGTGCCTTATATACTGTATTACGTTATGGTTTTACTACAACAGTTACATGCATTTCCTTGCTAATAGACAATTGACATTAAAGCCAAAGATTAGAAGAAATAGGAGACTGAAGTTTATATTAACCATGTACATATATAGTAAAAGATGAAGTTCTCCTGACGTCTTTCTTTGCTCAAGAAGACTAAAAAAACCCAGATTTTTGCCAGTGGGAAGCAACTCAAAGCTCCAATATTGCCCCTTCAATACAAAGTTCATAACGAGCCGAATTCCTGTTATTGGACAATCTTAGATAAACTGGATCAAGGCGTTGAAAAACTTTGTGAGTAATATCAACAGCTGTGCAAAACCCGGTCGTTCCTCTCCTGATAACGCCCAACAATACCCCATGATTGTAAATAAATCATCGGGACAACCAGTAGGTTGACCCAGACGATGACCATTCTTGAGATAAAATACCATTTCAAAAGCATCAATACTGTTATATGGTTGTTGCCCCAACGTAATCAGTTCCCACAGAGTAACACCAAACGACCACTGCAATACAAAGAAAACAAAATGGTTTTAATTAACTCCGAATAACAAGAGAGAATATTTGAACATCCTCAACTTATCCCATGCCCAGAATGTTTTCTCAATTACTGTACATATATAATTAGTTACAGACTTTACATACCACATCACTTGCTGTAGTAAACCGATGTTGCTCAAGACTCTCTACTGCCATCCATTTCACAGGTTTGTTTTCATTATCACCCAGGCAATGATAGTCCATTGGAAATAAATCTCGAGACAGGGCACAGTCTGTTATCTTGATGTGAAACTCGTCATCAATCCTACAACAGAAATTATTGTGTAATGTTTTAAGCTTCAATGATAATTTACGATACAATGATAATTTATCCTGCGGGCGGTCCGGGAACTCGGCCGTTGGCGTACATATACTGTAATTGACCTAACTTCTTCTTTAGAATATAGAGCATTAGAAAATGGTTAGATAAATTAGGATTTACGAAAGAGTTATGATTCGACCGACATAGAAACTCCTATTTGAAGACCGCAGTTGATACTGCAACCATGACATGCCATGTTTGTACACTTACAAGCAATTTCGCGTTGCCAGATCTTTGTGAACTAAACTCCGCATTTCCAAGTACAACATTCCATTAGCAATTTGTAGCGCCATATCAATCAAGTCACGTGTAGTCACACTCTAAATAGAAGAAACATGGTTCGTGTGGAAATGGTTCATGTCGAGAGTACGAAGTTAACATCATATTCCCATCCGTCTGTTGCAACAAATTACAATGGCTCAAACTTAAAACTTACTATACAGTAGATGTTTATGTAAGTATGCAAAAATTACGTTTTAGGTTTATGCAAGTAAAAACATTGTTAGAAGTTATAGTTATTTTGTCGATGGTAAAATACTTTCAGATTAATCGGAGCACACCCCCACCTCCCCCCCCCGCTAGTTCCTCCACTGAGTACTAATTCTGGGTCCTCTGTTCGCCATCATATCAGAATGTAAATGACGGGAAGTTGTCCAATAGATAGTGACAGAAATATTTTGAAATAAATAAATAAAACAATAAATAAGGCAAATCGCAGTCGTTTAATACCGACCTTTTCTAAGCCTGTTCCTTCAGGTGTCCGCGATTTCTTGAGGAAATTTTTTAGATTTCCCTGATTCATACTGGGTGTGACAACAAACGGACGAGCAACTTCTTCCTCTGAGAGACAAACGTATGCTATCGAGCAAATGTTTTGGTGGTTCAGACCTTTCAACATACTGCCCTCAGCCAAGAGAAGACTAGCTTGCTCATCTGAAGCTTTCTCTAGATGACAATTTTAAAGCATATAAGGTTAACATTAATCAGTCGTTTATCTCCCTTACAACTTGGTAAGAACATAATCGTATACTTATATTAGAATATTTGTTGCTTTTTTACACCTGGGCAGCCATATGGATATCGAGCCAATTGCGCTTTATTGGGAATGTCAGGTGAGCCCAGATTGTTCTAAATTACTTTACAAAAACATAGTATAAATGAAAGCCGGCTCAGCATGGCTACTAAATGCTGTGCTGAATAAACCAAATAAATTCAAAGCTGATAACTTGCTATAAGGTTTACTGTAATTGCTTCAAATAAAAGATCGAGTTAACTGGGAAGAGCACAGCGAGCTATGATAACAATATCTTAACAATACATTGTTAGGGGTTACTGCATATTCTCCCGCCATGGTGACTCAGAAACGTGATCATATTTCTAAACAGGACATAGGATAGTATCTGTAAAGTACCTGAAACAGTTTTGACAAAAACATTCTGTCCCTCGCCATCTTCAGGTCCTGTCACAACACCTTCGTAGATCTTGCCAAATGTTCCCTCTTGCAGGATCTCGCCCAGAGAAACACGCAATCTGTCTAGCACGATATCTTGGAGTTTCTCACGAATTTCTTTGTTTCGTTTCTCGCGAAGTGGAAGAGTATCTTCAGGATGAAGCGGATCTTGCGGAATTTGGTTTCCAATCGTGGACGTTTCAGCAGGTTTGGGAACAATCACTGCGAAGTGAAATACCAAATGAACAAAAAGTTGACAGACCTGTTAAACTTTCTAATTTCTATTCAATGCATTTCCGTAAAAGAAAAGTTGCGAACTCCCTTCATTTTGTGAACATATAATATATTATGTTTGCGATGTTACTCTGAGTGCATATCCACACCGGGCGAGCTTGGATAATATGCCCGGCCACGGTGGGATTCGAACCTACGACTTTTGGAATACTAGCCCAATGCTCTTCCAACTGAGCTACGCGGTCAGGACGGTTCGAGTAAGTGATATTTCGGAACAGTATCTAGTTCCTTCAATACCAATGTGTTCTTGTAATATGAATTTTTTTTCTGTGTTGGTGTTGTGTACTCAGGTGAATAATATGTTTGCGATGTTACTCTGAGTGCATATCCACACCGGGCGAGCTTGAATAATATGCCCGGCAAACATATTATTCACCTGAGTACACAACACCAACACAGAAAAAAAAAATTCATATTACAAGAACACATTGGTATTGAAGGAACTAGATACTGTTCCGAAATATCACTTACTCGAACCG